ACTACAGGCGCCTGCCACCTCGCCCGCTATGAGTGTTTTTGTATTTTTTTAGTAGAGACGGGGTTTCACTGTGTTAGCCAGGATGGTCTCGATCTCCTGACCTCATGATCCGCCTGTCTCGGCCTCCCAAAGTGCTGAGATTACAGGCTTGAGCCACCGCGCCCGGCCTGTGGTTCAATTTTAAATGGGATTGGCAGGGAAGATTTCACTAGGAAGATAATATTTGAGTCCAGAAGATCTAAAAGAGGTTCCGGGGTTGTCTGAGGAACAGCCCAGAGGCCCTAGTGGGGCACGCGCAGGAGGTGAGAAGAGAGATGTGGGAATGGAGAGGCCGCATTACAGGCATGGACCACCATGCCTAGCATTCTGGAACACTTCTGAGCAAAGGAGATACTATTATTTATTTATTTATTTATTTATTTACGTATGTATGTATGTATTTTGAGATGGAGTCTCACTCTGTCACCAAGGCTGGAGTACAGGGACGCGATCTCTGTTCACTGCGACCTGGCCTCCCAGGCTCAAGCGATCCTCCCACCTCACCATCCCCAGTACCTAGGATTACAGGCGTGCGGCACCATGCCAGCTAATTTTTTTGCATTTTTAGTAGAAATACAATGTTGGCCAGGCTGGTCTTAAACACCTGACCTCAAGTGATCCGTCCGCCGTGGCCTCCCAAAATGGGGAAATTACAGGTGTGAGCCTCTGCACCCAGCCGAGAGATGCTGTTAATGTTGAAGTCAAGGCATCAGGCATACAGCAGGACTGTAGTTGGTAAGTCAGGCCATCCTCCTTACAGATGCGGCCTTTGGCTTTAACTTTGAGGAGAAAGGCATGTCATTGGAGAATTATGAAAAGTGGCAACCATCAGGAACGGATAGTTACTTAAACAGCATCCCTCTAGCTGCTCAGTTGAGAATAGACTTTGGGACAAGTGCAGAAGTGGGAAAACCAGTTAGGAGGCTATTGTGAAAACGCGGAAGAAGTGATGGTGGCTTGGACTGGGTGGTAAAATGTGGTTGCAGACTGGTTATAACTTGAAAGTGGAGGCCAGAGGAATTGTCTATGGTGTGGATGTTGGGTGTGAGAGTATTCCGGTGTAACCCCAGGTTTCCGGCCTGAGTGGCGGGAGAGATGAGAGGACCACAGGAGGAGTAGGTGGTGGGAGTTTGAATATTTGGTATTGGACACACCAAGTTTGAGTTGTCCATTTGATGTCCAAGCAGAGATGGTGGTAGAGCTGGGTGCCATGGCTCATGCCTGTAATCCCAACACTTTGGGAGGCCGAGGTGGGTGGATCACCTGAGGTCAGAAGTTTGAGACCAGCCTGGCCAACTCGGTGATTAGCCAGGCGTGGTGGCGTGCACCTGTAATCCCAGCTACTCGGGAGGCTGAGGCAGGAGAATCACTTGAACCCGGGAGGAGGAGGTTGCAGTGAGCAGAGGTCTCACCACTGCACTCCAGCCTGGGTGACAGAGTGACTCCATCCCCCAAAAATAAAAATAAATAAATAAATAAAAAAGATGGTAGTAGATTGTTAGTTATACAGTCTGAAGTTCAGAGTAGAGGTCTGGGCTAAAGGTACACCCTTGGAGGCACTATTATATAGAAGGAATTAAAACAGATTGGGCCAGATGCGGTGGCTCATGTCTGTAATCCCAGCATTTTGGGAGGCTGAGGTGGGAGGATTACTTGAGCCCATCAGTTCAAGACCAGCCTGGGCAACATAGTGAGAACCTGTCTCTACAAAAAATAAAAAATAGCTCAGCATGGGTGCATGTGCCTGTCAGGAGGCTGAGGCAGGAAGATTGCTTGAGCCTGGGAGATAGAGGTTGCTGCGAGCTATGATGGTGCCAGTGTACTCCAGCCTAGGCGACAGAGTGAGACCAAGTCTCAAAAATAAATAAATAATAAATAAATACAGAAAAAAATAGAACTATGAGACTGGATGAGATTGTGAAGGGAGTGGGTATAAATGTTGAAAAGAGGTCGGGCGCAGTGGCTCACACCTGTAATCTCGGCACTTTGGGAGGCCGAGGCGGGTAGATCACGAGGTCAGGTGTTCGAGACCAACCTGGCCAATATGGTGAAACCCACCTCTACTAAAAATACAAAAATTAGCCAGGCATGGTGGCAGGCACCTTAGTCCCTGCTACCTGGGAGGCTGAGGCAGGAGAATCGCTTGAACCCGGGAGGCAGAGGTTGCAGTGAGCTGAGATCGTGCCACTGCACTCCAGCCTGGGCAACAGAGCGCGACTCCATCAAGAAAGAAAGAAAGAAGGAAAGAAAGAGAAAGAAAGGAAGGAAAGAAGGAAGGAAGGAAGGAAGGAGAAAAAAGAGAGTGAGCTAAGATAGACAACTAATATAAAAGATGTGAGATGAGGAAGAACCAGCAGAGCCGACGGAGAGAAAGGAATTTGGGATCCCAGAGGCCGAGTGAGCAAAGTGTTCTAAGGAGAAGGTAATGAGCACGCCTGTCAAATAATGCTGGTTGTTTAGTAAAATGAGGACTGAACAGAGGTCATTGCCTCGACCAAGTGGAAAGCATGGGTGACTTGCTGAGCACTTTCCATTTTGCAGAAGGGCAAAAGCCCAAAGTGTAGTGGGTTTAAGAAAAAGTGAGAGTTATCAATTTTGGAGGCCAGTTAATTGAAAAAGAAAGAAAGGGCTGGACGTGCTGGCTCACGCCTGTAATCCTATCACTTTGGGAGGCCAAGGCGGGTGGATCACCTGAGGTCAGGAGTTCGAGAACAGCCTGACCA